CCTCCCCTCCCCCACCGCCCCCGGCGAAGACCTCCTCCTCGACATCCCCATCCTCGAACGCCACCCCTTCACCACCCAGTCCTTCATCCCCATGGCCGTCCCCGCCGACTCCACGAAAACCTGCTACATCGTCGTCGTCGCGCCCACCCTCCCGGGCCCGTCGCCCATCACGAAGAAGAAGAGCGCGGGGAACTCGTCGCGGTTCCCGCACCCGTATCCGCCGAAGCCGCGGCGGCGGAGGTCGCTGAGGGAGGTGTTCTCCCAGGCGCGGCCGTCGCCGTATGACAACTCTAGCGCCCCGCCCAGGGGGGAGCGGGGCGGGGTGGAGGGATCGCGGGGGATGGGGTCGCCGGATTTGAAGAATCTGAGGGCATTTTTGGCGACGGGGGATCAGGGGGTAACGTATGGGGTGGGGACGTGGCATGCGCCGATGGCGGTGGTGGGGGAGCGAGGGGTGGATTTCGTGGTGGTGCAGTTTGTGAGTGGGGTGGCGGCGGAGGATTGCGAGGAGGTGGAATTGAGGGGGGAGGGGGAGGGCGTGGCGGTGATGATTCGGCAGGGGGGAACGCCGTTGAAGATAAAGAGTAGGTTATAGAGGGAATGGTGCTTGGGCCGGACTTCGTCCTCTAGATTGTATGTATTATGTATATAGCGTCACGAGGAGCAACAAATATAGAGATGTTTGGAATAATCACGAAGTTATGGAGCGATATCGGTAACACTGTACAGGCGTTGAGCTCCCAAGTATGGGATTATGTTTGCTAGCATACTGGCACCTGTACTGGGAAATCGAGCTGTCACAAAGTTCAGGTTACATAGGACCAGAGCTGCTCGTATTCCGAACTTATCGTTGCAACCCCTACAAGGATCCAAACAGGGAAAGAGTACCGCGAAGAATCCTCTGAGACGTATCGTAGGGCGTAGTAGTCTGGTGGGGTGAATGGTTTAAAAGATGACTTTGGATCTCATCTGAGGGATATTCTGTCACTGATCAAGTACTTACGGTAATATCTAGAATAGCCGCGAACAACCATACCAGCGACCATGGCATCCACGAACGACTTCCCCAAACCAACCTACATCACCGGGAGCTGCCTCTGCGGCGCCCTGAAATACCGCATCGACTTCCCCAAAGACCATGACTTCGATAAAGCCGTACGCCGAACTCCATCCATCCATCATTTCTCCCAAACGACGACCAACTAACTCCTCCCCAGTCCGGCACCTGCCAATGCACCCAATGCCGCAAAAACACCTCCTCCCTCTTCTACATCTACCACAAGGTCCCCTTCACCGCCTTCCGCTGGACGTCCCCCACCCCTTGCCCCACCCTCAAAGCCTACCAAGCCACCCCCGGCAACTCCCGCGGCTTCTGTACCAGCTGCGGAAGCATGATGTACTGGCGAACCAACGCGGGCCCGCATATCTCCGTCCCCATCGGCACAGTGGATCCGCTGTTTCTGTTCGGGGAGGGCGCGGATGGGGTGGAGGTGCCGAAGGAGGGGTTTGGGATGGCGTTGATGAGGTGTGGGGGTGGGCATGAGTGGTGTGGGAATGAGATACCGGGGGTGACGCGCAAGGAGGATATATCGTTGTTTAAGAGGGGGGAGCAGTTTTTGGAGGACGATTAGGGTGAGGGTGGAGCGCTTGTTAGGGACAAGATATGGGCGGCTGGACGAAATAATACAAGACGACAGCCATAGGCAGATACAAATAGGTGAATGCAAGCAGGCCAGAGCAGAGCTTATCAAGCTAGACCGAGTTCATTGAGACTGGTTTTAGGCGCCAATTCCGCTTTGCTCCAGCGGATGTACCACTGTACCATGGTTTTAATACGGACTTGCCTTGGGGGCTCCTCAGCATTGATGGCAATTCCGAAGAAAACGTTCAGATATACAGAGCAGAACTTGGGGACGTTTGATTATTTCATGCTGTTAATATTGTTGTTGGCTGTTGATGTGCTGTTGCTTGTTTGATATTTTGATTACCTAAGCAACATCTTATCAAAGAGCAGAACGTGACTAGCCGTACCAACTGATATCATTGGCTGATGGACTGAATTTGGGCTCCACACATGACCCGCGACTGCTAAACTTGGAGCGGGCCAACGTCACCCACACCATCCCCATCTCTCCGCTCCCCTCCACCCTCTGTCCATCACTCACTCTCAACCGTCAACTATCCACCTCACCTTTCAACCTTTCATGATATTTCCCTACAATCGGCCAGCCTATTCCCTCCATCTTATGACCCCGATCAACGGAGTCCTTCATTATACCTTCTAGCTCATGGTGAGTCGAGTGTATCCCTTGGACCCTGCGCTATCACTCCTACCCCTCATTCCGATATCAAGGAGTGGTCCGTCCATCACACCAACCAGGCCGCACGGCGACTGGGGTGATCATTTCCCTGAGCCTCGCATCCCACCTGACTTCACCTTTGTCCTCGAAACAAACACCCGTTCTTCTCTTCTACTACCTTTTCTTCTTCTCTTCCGTTCCATTCTCTTTGTCGTTCGATGTGAACCTAACATACTATTATAGCGAACCCCTTCCCTTCGATCGAGTGCGGTGACGACACGCTACACGTGCAGTAGAGAGCCGGGCTAGAAGTGGAGCCAAGCTTTGTTCCTACACGTATCCCCCCGTTATTCGAACCATCCCCTCGAGACTACCGCGACCCTGTACGGACTATGAACGTCGGAACCTGAGTTCGCAAGGGTCGTCGCACGAATCGAGGTGTTTCGGCGGATTTTGAAATCTCAAACGGTTTTATGATGCAGGGACCGCGCTCCGATCCGCCTGTGCCTTCGCAGGCGGGAGACCAACGGCCTCACGATACTGCGCGGGATGGACAGGCCGCTCATTCTGCTCTGCAGTCATCGGCGCCCATTCAACGGTCTTATGGTAGGCAACACTCCCCTAAATCGACGGCGCGTTTATATATGATGGTGCCATACCCCACCCCGGTCTTGGATCTCAACTTTCTCCACTTCCTCGATGATGCGACTGTTCATCAACTACTTCGATCGCGATTATGCTTACGACGACTCTTCAGACTCCTGGATCGAAGTATCCTCGCAACCTTCTTCATCCTCTCTTTCCTCGGTCGGCGACGAAATCATCACTACCGGCCTCCGAGTCCAGCACAACCACCACACCCGCCGAAGGAGACGCTTGCGCCATTCCGATGGCATACATCTGAACCTGGGTCAGCGCACTAACAATGGTGGAGGAAGCAGCCAGGAAGAGTACGATGGGGGCGAAAGCGAGTCGGATAGAGTCATGACCTCGTCAAACGAAGGTATCCATCCCTCTCCATTACAAAACGAATGGCACCCCGCTGCATCCTCCGATCAATCTATCCCATCATCGGAGGAGGATGACGACGAGAATGCGACAGCCATCAACGCCCCCCGTGGCTCAGACTCGCGCTTCACCCCCTTCCCAAACGCATTCTCCTACCCTCCTGCCCCTTTACGCACCGCGTCTCAGCAGGCATCAGTGCCCCGTCCCGCCAATAATTCCAGCCCCTCAACAAACCGCCCATCCCGCACCGCCCGCCACTTTTCCTACCCCAACAGCACCCGCACAGACGAACGCTCCCACTCTCCCTTCCCCTCCCTCGCCGGCTCCAGCTCCAACCACCACGCCAACCATGACGCTGCCCTGCGCGCTAGCCTCTCGACCCTCCTCTCATTCGGCGCCGCCGCCGCCCGCGCCCTCCCCAAATCCCCACCCCGCGCCACCACCGGCGCGAACGTTACAGACTCTGAGAGGCAAAATTCCCGCATCCGTCCGGACACCCTCCGACTCGTTCCCGAAGACGAGATCCACGGCACCGCCACGGAACCCGCACTCGAGGAACCCAAGCCCAGTTCTAGCGGGGCAGCGCCACCGCCTGCGAGACCGCGCAGTCCGGCGCAGAGGAAGCATGCGACGCGGGTTGAGACGTCAACGCCGCGGAAGAAAGCACGGCGTAAGTCCCCGTCGCCCTCGCGGTGGGCGGGCCGATATAGCGGCGGCTCGATCGACGCGGTGTCGCCGACGTTGCTAACGTGGGTGCTGTCGGCGGGGGTGCTGGTGCTGGTCAGCGCGCTGGGATTCGGGGCGGGGTACGCAGTGGGACGGACGGAGGGGAAGGCGGAGGCGGTGAGGGAGGGGTTGATTGGTGGGGGGGAGGTGGGCGCGAGAGCAGATGTGGCGGGGAGGAGTTGGTTTAGGAATGGGACGGTGAGGAGCATGAGGGGGTGGGGGAGTGTGAAGGCGTAGTGGGAGGGTGGGGTGGTTGCCTGGAAGGGAGGCGCATCAATGCATCTCCTGCACGTGATGATTGGAGTCTATTATGGAGGTCCACAGCATCGCATACCGGCATTCGCCGCCGAGTGCCGTTGGATGAGAGCGCTACTCATCAGCATCGGACATGGAGCATTTTCTATCATTTGGATCGGTTGGCGTTTGGGTTGTTTCTCTTCTCCCTCATACTGGGTGAGATAGATGCATGATGAGATGAAGTTATGGAAATATGAGCTTGGGATGATGGAGGCATATTGATATTATCGATGCCTTGGCTCGGGCATGGCGCGGACGCTGGGGACTTTATGGACTCGTGCCCTGAGGCCGAGGGGATGAAATGGGGTGGATGGGCAGCGAGGAAAGATGTTTATGGGATTAGTGCCGTAAGTATTAGCTTATGGTAGATAATGCAGTTGCTTGGCAAATCTGAATCGTTATATTGTACACAATGGTAGGACGGGCGTCACACAGTGAATAGACTTTCAGGAGTGGACCTGGCACTATTCGTGTACTGTCCAGCTATGCACTGATACGAACAAATGGCCGACTTTCACGCCGATCCATTTATTTCGCTGAATGATTTCTCATATGTTCATTGTCGTCACTGCATTTCTAAACGCCGAGACGGACGGAACGGGGTATTTACGATTACCTTACTCACGCAGCTCAAATCCACTCCCTGAGCTGAGAGAAGGCAACGGGGAGAACCTACCACCTCTCCCTCACTCTCATATCGGTGCCTCCTTGGGATCTAGACTTCCAACCCATTCCGTCGTCAGTCACCATTCGAAGATCGGCGGTATTCGACGATTGGATTTGGGGTATCGTAAGCACCTACGACAGACCAGCCAGGCTCTCAATTCTTTCGCAACCCCCTCACAGTCCCCCTAACCCCCTTCGACCCATCCTTCGGCGCTGCGACGAATGCATCCCGCGTTATCTTCACGTCATCGATCGTCGTCTCGTGCAGCTCAAGGTCGAATCTGCGGAACACGGACGCGAGGGTGAGGAACATCTCGGCGTACGCGAGGCTAGGGACGGGTTAGATTGGATTTGGCTTTCGAGGCAGTGGGGGGATCAAAGTTAACTCACTTGAGGCCCAGACATATGCGACTACCTTTACCGAAGTTGGCGAGGTAGTGGTCGAGGCGCTTTTCTTGGAGCCAGCGGTCGGGGTTGAAGTGGGTGGGGTCGGGGAAGATGGTGGGGTCCATGGTGACGAAGTAGGAGATTTGGCTGACGGCGGCCTGGGTTGTTCGGTTAGTGTAAAAGACTATGGTGTCTAGAAATAGAAACGTACTCTTGGAGGAATGACCCAGTCCTTATATCGAAGCGGTTCGTCCATCTGGCGGGGTGATCGGGTGGTCACGCCGTATGAGAGACGGATTCCTTCATACACAACTGCGGACTGGAAATTCGTCAGTCAAAGGAACGAAGCGCTGCGGACCATACGTACTAGATACGGGAGCTGCTCGAGTTCTGTCCAGGTCGCCCTGGAATCCGGGCGCGGCATCACCGTCTTCAACTCCGCCTGAAGTCTCGGGAGAACCCCAGGCGTAGCAAGCAAGTAGAACGTCGTGGTCGCCAATGATTTCGCGGTCGTCTCCACGCCCGCCGCGACGATTGTGCTGCCTTCGTCGACTAGGTGGGCGATGGTCCTCTCCTCAGGAGGCACCAGGTCACTTTCCAACAGCGTCTTTAAAATCGATGGCTCGGCGCTCCGCTTCTCTTTCGGGGTGTTGAACGCCTTTTCCGCCTCCTTCTTCAGTTCCGCCTGGAAGTTGATCAGGGCGCCTAGTCCGGGTGCCATTTTGAGGATGTACTCGTCCGGAAAGTTCTGCATGAGCTGGGTGAGCCATGGGGTTGCGCGCCGGAACTGCGAGCCGGAGAACACCATGTCCATGGACTCCTTCCATTCCAACTTGAAGTTCGGATCCTGCAGATAGCCGTAGCTGTATCCGTAGCAATACTCCATAATCACGTCGGTCGTCAGCGCGCCATACGCCACATCCAGCCGAAACGGCTCCCCCGTCTTCGCGAATGCTTCCAACCGCGCACACAAGCCGTCCACCTTCTCCTGAATCTTCGGCTCGAGGCTCACGACGGAGCGCTTGGCAAAGAACGGGTTGAGGGGTGCACGCCTCTGCCGATGCACATCGTGCTTCACCGTCGTCGAGGTGGACGTCGGCGCGCCGGCCATCTTCGCCCATTTGTCGTACTTGTCGCGCTTCTTGTTGCCGGTGCCGTAGATCTCGTCGAAGAAATCGGCATCGCGGATGTGGAGTTCGTCGGGATTTATTCGAACGATTGGACCTGGGTTGACGAGTCAGGTCCGATCGATCCATCGCGACAAATATGACAGCCGAACAGATGATGGCTCTCCCCTCCAGCCTTGTAGTTGGGATCGAAGAAATGGTGTCGTACCATATTTGTCATGCATCCTCTCGATCTCCCATAGAAACATGCCGCCCTTGGCGACATCGAAATACAACTCATAATAATCCGTCGCGGCGGCAAGTTTGGGACCGGGGAATCTTGCCAGAGGGTGGAGGAACAGTCGGTAAATCAGAACTCCAACGTAATACACAATAGTCGAGATCACGGCCGCCTCGAGTAGCCGCGATAGCGTGATTAACGCCATGATCTGAACAGATGTTAAGGCGTTATAAGTATGGCGAACTGCTGAATTAAGACACGGAATAGGTGATCGAGAAAAAGATGGGAATTTGACCCCGGGGTAACAGAATCTCAGAAGAGCATGTTCCCCATACAGCACTAAACTAAATCCAGCTCAATACACGATAGCGAAGGCCGTTCCACACGATTTAAAAGATAAACCAAACTGCTGGTTTGTTGGCGGCTTGCTCAAGAATCCACTGAGTATCGATACGCATGTAGCTAGGAAAGTTGGATGGGACCTCAACAGTCAGTCCCAAAGACAGGGCATTGGGACGACGTCAAACCCCATTGGGGCCGTCATAACTCATAACTCGTGAACTCAATCCTTGTGAATGGTGTTGCATAATTCTTGTAGCGAGAACGAGGAACGTGAGCTGTGAGCCTATGACAGCCGAGAAACTATTGTTTGTTGTTAGGGCTTGGGGAGGGAGGTTGGGACTTCGGACATGGGTCTGCTCGAGATATGCATGGACTTGCATCGGATGCTGGGGCCTGAGCTAAGACGCAGAATAGCAAAATTCGAATCTATGGACCAGGAATCCAGGACTGATTTTGAAGCTTCAGTGGGGTTTGGGCGGGAAGAACCCCAAGACGGGAAGGACTCCAAGACGGGAAGGATTCCAGCCCATCCAGGACGGCACGTGCCTGGTGGTTCGCTTGTCCTCGGAGTGGGAGGCTCGGAGGCTTGGCCTTTTCCTACGCAGTACTCCCCAGCCCCCAGATTGGCAGTTCAAACGCAATATTTTAGTTGCGACTTGCGAGTCAAGCTCAATATCTTCCTATTTCATAGATCGACAATCGAGATCTAAAATCTATCTGACTTTCGAACTTTGAAGGTGGGTACTGGGTGGACGGTGGTGATACCTAGCGTCCTGTTAAGCGTCGATCGTGCTGGTAAAAGTGCAAACAGCAAATGGTGCTAGTTGCTACCCTGCTATCAGCTATGTAATTACTACGGATATCGGAGTGATAGTCTGGGGTGGTCCACCCAGCGGCCGGCCCAGCCTGTCCCGTTCTAGTCTCAGGCTTGAGGCTAGTCTGAGTATTCCTGGAAGAGGGGCACAGTGCTTGTATCCTGGCCGATGGAACTCAGGGGTTCAGGGTCCAAGAAACAGTGCCAACTGGGAATAGGCAACGATGCCCGAGTGACAAAATTACGATTGCCACAAATCATTTACGAGATTGATGCACAGTTGAAACAAGTGATGAAATCAGACTACGGAGTAAAAGAGTGCTCATATTACATATCTTCGCAAAATGCAGAGTGCAAGGTGATTCCGCTCCGCTAGAATCCGTTCGAGCACAAAACCATATGCACGTCGCCCTGCATTAGGTATATCTCCTGGAGATCCATAATGCAAATCCAGAGCATGGGTTTGAAGACGCTGGCTCGATTTGTCCTATTCCGTCCCCGTTAGGAGTATTTGTCTTTGTAATCGACGGGGAGAAACAAGGAGATCGCGAGGTCCTGGAAAATAGGAAACCATACAATGTTAGAGCACCATTTTACATCCGTCGCTAATACCATAGTCAATACCAATGTGAGAACGCTTCGACGTCTCACTTCGCCAAGATGCGGCCGAGTCCGTTTTTGAAAACGCCTCCCAAATTGGTATCGATAACCGTCGCTAAATTCAAGTTCGTTCATACTTCTCTCAAAGAGGTCGTGCCCGGCAAAGGGTCTGCGAAGACGAACTATCGGCACCCTTCTGCTGCCCGGAATTAGCCGTAGCGATACCGCTTCACCGATTCGATATGCGTTGTCGTAAATGGGATGGCATTTGGAACCAATATCTTTTCCTTGGATGCATGGTCGTCCATTGCTGTTGCTCTACCGTGAGGGAACCTTGGTTCATCTTCGAGCTCTGCCAACGAACCCCCATCAGGCCATTGATGTCGCCTGTCCACTGGAGTTTGTTCCCTCATCGCGCCTGAGAGTCCTCGGCTTCGGCTTTGATCTTCGGATTTGTTGGCGCTACTGCTGATAGACGCGATCGAATGGAACATTTGGTCGAAGACGGGGCGTAGAATGGTGCTGCTGGAAACGATGATTGCGACGCCCAATTCCAAGATTGTCAGGAGATCGGGAACCATTCCGCTGTAAGTGGGGTCAAGGAAATCCATCGTAACAACCTTTACGGTTCTTATGATACCAACAACGATAGTGCTAGGGCAATATCAGCATTTGATTTGACGGCGAAGGCTAGGGGAAAGGATCACGCACCTAACCCCCAATGCAAATACCATCACAAGCGCGATGCGATTGGACAATGGTATCTGCAACTTAAAGATCATTGGCAACGGAATGATAAAGATGAAAACGTCCACGATAACATCCATGATGCCGACGGCTGCAAATGCGGCGTTCTGGTCTCCGCATTTACCACCAGCTGTCGTGGGATCCCAGAACATGGAAATCGGTCGGCAGATGAGCAAGCTGTTTAGAATAACCGCAAGAGTCCATGCAACTGCAAAGCCTGCTGCGGTATAGGCGGCAATCTTGACCGGCTTGACGAAGAAGATTCGAGCGATCGTAAGGCACAGACTGCATTTGACAAGGCCCAGTCCAATACCGTAAGAGAATTGCATCCCATAGGATAACTGGCATAGTCAGAGTTTGAGCTTGGATAATGATAGCAAATTAGACATACTTTGAACATATAAGTTATGTTCTGCAGCGGCACCTCTGATATATGACGTCCAATGCCTCCCAACAGAGTCACTATAGTTGTTGTAAGCAATTGACGGGTGCGAGCCATTGGATGCAACCTACTTGGAATGATGAATCCTGCTTCAACATAAAGCATAGCCTGCGAAGGGTTAGTACTATTGCATCGCCTCTCTTTTCCATGACCGACCAAAGCGACGAGGATCATCCAATCCTCCAGTTGGATGTCAATCTTTCGTAGACGACGAGCGTAAATCCGAAGTCCCGTCCATATTGTCGCAAGCACCGTTATCACAACACTGACTGTGACCAGAATGACACCACCTTGGGCAAGGGGAATGATATTGACTTCTGTGGAGGCGGACACTGCTTGCGACATGATTGCTAGCGGCCGGTTAGATGAGATATTTCAACCCGAATGGTCGCTTGCTCGGGAGGTAAGCAACAAACATAAAAGGATTTTGAACGTTCAGATTATAACGAATGAGTGTTAGAGAAGGTTGAGGAAGGCAAATGACGAAGATATGGCCGCACTGGATCTGGAGGTTGGGTTGAAGGGCCTTTACAAACAACGAAATGTTGGGGATGTAGGTCGTAACTCGTATCAAGCATCAACCCTTCTCTGCACGGCGAGAGCAAACCCTCCACACATCATGCACAGCTCCAGATCGACATTTCTCTTCCTCGATTGACCCGGAGTAGGCTGCAGCGGCCAGTTAAGAACCCCGGAAGACACTTCATCCCCTTGGACCTTGGTCTTCGCAGTGCACAAGAGGCGCCACCATGGATGAACCTTTTTCGTCAGGGATATTACGGTTTCCGAATGTCTCTTGCCTGTGTGCCAACAGGCTGGGTCCACGGGCTTGGTTTGAGTTTTGAACAATGCCTAACGCCTATTCGGCAGGAGAATAGCCACAGCCCGATTCGAAGTTTATCAAATGCATTAATATGCATCGTCGACGTTCGTTCCAACTGTTAAAGGCAACTCCAGAAATGGTCTACTGTGTATGATCTGCCAAATAGATACCACCTGGAGAGGAAACGGGAGAGCACTAGAATCTGTTCCTTCGAATGGCAAATGACGCGAAAGTTGAAACTGAACCCCAAGACTTGCGACATGGGAGTGGATCAGTGGCTGATAGCTGCAAGATTTGTTGAGGTGACAATACGGAGTACCTAGCAGAAGCAAATGCGATTCCTGGTCAGTGGTCAGGATATGTAAAGGGCATCCTAGCTTCTGCATTACCACAGTAGTACTAATGAAGTGCAAAGGATCGCCCACCAACCGAGCGTTATCATGACTCGCCAGGCACCCTCCCCTTTCCCCAATCGAGGGCGTTTTTTAGAAACATGATAATATTACGGAGTAATCCCGTAGTGATACTATTGGCTAGAGCCCCCGGTTCCCTGCTTGTCCATTGTTAGCTAAACTGCTCAAGGCGTCAAGTCCGGCTCAATGCTCGATGCCTCTTATACTCCTGCACATGGGGTTGAGATTCACAAGAATCTCATTCTTCCATTGTTCTCAAGTCTCAAGCTTCATGTTTGAAGCCACACCCTAGTATTAAACGCCTTTGTTCCAGCTTTCATACTGTCAATATCAGCTTCCACATCTCCGGAATATCGTATTCGCAAGAGTTGCACACAACCATTTACATAGTAGTCGATATGTCAGTTGAGGTTGGGAGTTTGGAGCGTAATCAGACCGAAATTGGTAGACCCTGGCAGGGTTCGGTTTGTCCCTACATAGCACACTCCTGTGCAGTGAAACCGTGGCTAGGAGGTCTCAAAGGAACGAGGAATTAATAGAGGACTTCCTATCCATGACTTGAGTTGTACGGAACATGAAGATATTGTTCAAGCAGACCGATAGGAAAGGACCGGTTGTGGCAATGGTTCCTCTATCATGAGATTGACTTGACTGCTGCACCCAAACGTGTCTAGAAATCGAAACCCCAGAGTCATGACATTTGGAAAAAGGAACCGAGGAGTCGTGTCCTGCTTTCGCTCATCACTGCGTAGATTCCGCTCATGATTCCTGCGCGTAGGAAGTGCTTGTCCTTTAGATGACCTCAAACAAGCTCATGCTGACCATCTCCTGTCGTTGATGCGGCAACTATCCGGAACGAAGACCGTACGCTGTTTAGAAGCGCATTGTCGTTAGGTGCGCAGCGATGGATCCCAAGGCCAAATCCATCATCTATCGCCGTTTTGAGCTGAAGTAAGACATCTGGTGCGGAGAACACAATGGAATTGGTGTATTCGGAGTTCTTGAGGCACGCCGGCATATGTTCTACCATACCAAGCAGGTTTGAAACCGTATTGCACAGAGCACAATGGTATACCCCAAAGTGGTCCACCTTGACACTTTTGGCGATTCCTATTTTGAGACTGCAGAATATATGGGATTCCCGAGCGATTGATGCGCTTTCAAAGCATGAATCGCAGCTCGAGCAGAACCATTCGGTGTCCCTGCTGACCACTTAGTGCACTGAATTCTGCATAAGACCATTAAAACTCACTTGACCACTTCGTAGGGGGTCCAGACATCGGCAAAATCTCGCTCACTAAGATGGAAATGGTGCCCCAGATGCTCGCTCCTGTCCTCCCAGGTAGAGAATATTTCCTTGCAAAAGCCACAATATAGAACTTCGGTTGATAGCTCTGATGTGTCTCTGATCCATTTCCAGTCATACTTCATATCCCCAGCGGGGTTGCCATGTAGATGGAAGTTTTGAATGTGACGGAACCCCCCCATGGTAGAGCTGTCGGGAGAGGAAAAGGATTGGTGGCTGGACGCGGACGGCCGAGCCGCTGCTGTTGGTGGCCCCCAACCTAACGGTAGGGGATAGTTGGACTCTGCGGTATTGAAATCATCCCTCAAGTAGCGCCATAGCAACGATACTGAAGCACCTTTTCCCGCCGATGGTTCAAGGTTCTCCGTCGTGAGTTTATCTAGTGAATCAATCGACGATTCGCAAGTCATACTCTCTCCCAAGAGAGAGACAACACTGTTAGGTCGGTCCTCCAGTAATGTGAAGCTCCTGGATGACGAAGACCCGTCTCCGCCATTCTGGAATTGATGTTTCGTGTGCATTGTTCGAGAACACTCGCCGTTGATTGCAAGGCCATCTGCGGCCGATCGGGTAGGGGTAGCGGCCCCATTAATCAATGCTGTTGATTCTCCTGGCAGAAAAGACGCGCCTTGGATGGGGTTTCCTGGTATTTGCCCTCTTGCACGTGTGTTGTTGATGAATATGGCCAGAGTTGATAACGGGATATCCCACTGCGAAGCCAGCGCTTCCTTCGCTTCTATTAATGGATATGGATAGGACTGGAGGGTCTCGAGTATCACCATCTTTGCGTCATTAGGGATTTTCGTTCTTGTCTTCTTCGTACTGGCATCCTCCAGGCGAGCGGACTCTGGGCAGCTGTGGTCAATGGATGGTTTCAAGGCCGTATCAACGCGCTGTGGCAAAATGACGCCCGTGTCATCCCGAGCACTGTTGTTCCGCGATGCCTCGCTCACCGACGATTCTGAAAAATCGTAGCCAGCAGTCTGGCCCAGTGCGGGACTAAAATTGCCCTTTACTTGGATTGCACCAAACTTGACTTGAGAAGGGGGGATATGTTCATCGACGGTGTAACCAATATCAAAATCGATGTCTCGCAAATGGGCAGATCCGCCGTCATTGGAGACCAGGGGATCGCCACCAATGACTAAGTCAGTCATATCAATGTTCGGCGTGCCCTTGCTCTTGACGCTTAACAACACCGGATGAATGCCACCAGAGTGTTCAGGGGTCGCGTCAATCTCCGGCCATGAGTGGCAAGCCATATCACCTTTGGTCATCATCGCGGCGGGGGTATCGAGTTCCATGCTCTTGATGCCTAACAGGTCGGCATCGATGCTACTGGATTGACTGAGGACCGTCTCGTTCTCCAGCCAAGACAGGTCATCTATGCCACCTCCCGCCATCATCTCTGCGGGGGCATCTGGTAGCTCCATGCACGTGATATCCAACGACTCCGCATGAACACCACCAGAGTGATCGGGTTTCGCGTCAATCTCTAGCCATGAGAGGCCGCTCAACTCATCCATAGCCGTCGAAGTACAAATCCAGCAGAGAGATCCGCGAAAAGTGCAAGAAGCCGTGAAGACGAGAAATCATCGTGTTCGACAGGAGACATCCCAGCCTTTTAATGGGATTTTTACTTACCTGCTGGCTGGCAAGGCTGAGTTGTGAGGACGGAGAGTTGATGGATTAGGCTGAGGGTGAACCGGTGAGGCGTAGTTGGCGCGCCCCTATTGGCCAGCCTAATTCATCAAAATTATGCCTGTACGACGTACAACACGTTCCATGTGTTGTACTCCGTAGGTGAGAGGAAATACCAGAACGGATTTTATGCACGGTTTGTCTAAGAGCGTTTTTGGCGCGTTCCTGTTGGTCAGCCCATTCCATCAAACTGAATGTATACTACGATGGGCTACCTGTGTCGCACTGTTGATGGCGCGGTTTGTTGTTATGATGGTGTCGAGTGCAGTACTACTCGCGGAATACAGCGTCCACTGGACTGTCTGCGCATGAAATGGTAAGAGAACGTATTATTCATGAGTTCGAGATTTCCCTCCACCGTACTCCTATATTTACAAAGTAGTGAATCGATCCACGACAACGACCTACTGTCATTCATATCCATATTCGTTCCACTGACTCTACACATCCCAGAAAATTGAGTGAAGACCCTCCGGAAATCTAACGGATAGCCTTCACTTCCTCGACCGGTGCGGCTCCTCCCGTCGTCGGGAGGCCGCTGAAGATCTGGAGCACGTTTAAAATCCAGGAGACGTTCTGTCGTAAGAGGACGTACCTTGAAGTAATCATAGATCATCCATTGCAGACCGGTCAACGTGCTGCGAACATCTATTAGTGACGTCTTCACTGACTCTCCTACGCTGACTTACCCAATCATAACAATCCTCACAGGAAGCCCATTCCACAGGCCCCCGAACCCGATATCTTTATAGATGCGACTCATGGCCCCACCAAACGCCTCGCCGGGTTGGCGGCTCGCATTCAATTTCGAGACCATGACATCGGCCGGATGAGAGACGATGGCACAAAGGATACCGGCCATGTAGCCAGCGGCGAACGAGACGGCAGTCTGGGCACCTTTCCCGTAGTCGGCTTTAGTCCCCGGCAGACGATCGTAGATCTTCTCGACAATGGTCTCGAAGGATGCGAATTTCATCATAGTGTAGGGGATCTGGCGGCCCCAGAGGGGGTAGAGGCCTTTGTACAGACTACGAGCGGTCAGGATACACTGTGTTTGGGGAGGACGTGAGGGGAGTACTCACCCTCCAACACCTTCTTTGCCGATGATGTGGTTCAGGCCATTAAGCGTGCCGGTAGCGAACGGCGGGATGGTGGTCTGCATGCGGACCTTGACGGCCTCGAATGGACACAGGGCAATGTCGGCGAAGAACTCTGCCGATGCAGATGCCGTGAGGTATAGCCAGGTCTTATATTTTTGTGCGTTCTCCGCGCCCGCGAAATCGGAGTAGGTCTTCTTGAAGAACTCGTAGCCTCCGTATTTGAAGGCCCCTTGCGCCTGTTTAACGGGTTAGGCTAAACACAAAGACGGAACGCGCATGGAAGGGTTTACTGAATATCCCCAAAAAGTCGGCCCCCACCCGGTGAAGACGCCTCGAAGTCCTTCTGCGCGGCCGATCTTTCCCCACGCCTCAAAGTTCCCCTTGTACATCTTCGAGTCGACCTGACGACGGCATTTGACAAGATCGAGCGGGGTCACTGCAGTGTGAGTAAAGCCCTGATCGTAACGTCAGTGAACACCCCCTGAACCTTGTACATCTGGTCCACATACACAGGCAAATAGCCCACCGATTGTACACGTCGCATAAAACTTCGGGCTATACAGCTCGATCTTCCCCGTCGACTTCTGCATCTTCCCGCTCGCCTTATCCAACTCCTTCGTCGCCGCATCGCTCAGCTGCGTAGCTTTGTCCTTCGCATCGTCAATGGCGCTCCATGCGGAGTAGAGGCCTGGCTTTGCCAGGTGCTTGCTCTTCGGCGCCGGCGACGGTGGGGAGGCGGGGTTGGCGAAAGGGGATTGCGGAGTCAGGACGGCTTGGATGGCGTCGGAATTGGGGAGGAGTCCACCCATGATGGCTGATTCGACGTGGGTTCAATTGTAGTGCTGGATGGATGTAAGACCGGGCTTATCGCAAACGCTCGAAGAGAGATCAGTATACCGACGTCACCACCGGAGGTCTCGGAGCCTTCGGATGGAAGTTGGAAGGTATGTACGAATTGAGCTCTCAAAGAACGATATTTTTGGCCTGAACACTTCCAGTCATGGGATTAGTATCAATGGATAAGACGCCAAACCAGTGACCACATATCTCTACAAAAGATCAGGAATACAAAGGAGGAGTTCAATAGGGAGTCGGGTAATTACTTTAATCCCGAACACGCAATTGGCAGGTGGAATGAGATATGGTGGCCTGAGAGCCTTACTAGATCCGATACCTCCGCTGTTAACTCCGAAGGTAACGTTGGTATTCGTGCCCTTGGACCATCGGAGGATCGGATCGTGATTCAGATCAGAATACCTACCTGATAGAACCTGATGCTTTTCGCGATGGAAATCTATATATTATCATTTTGCTTACGATCAGAACGACAGAATGATCAATCGTGGACTTCAGTCTTCACCATTTCGATAATTCGATGGTCAAGTCATCGCCCAGGCAGCGTGGGTGGTCGATCGACTACGCTCGATGGGTACATAGAAGAATGTGGGTTACGGGTCTCATCGCTACCACGCAATGCTAGCCTTACAAAATACATGGAGACTGGAATCTGGATGATCGGATCCAAGCCGTATGGTGATCGGATCTCTACCGAAATAATGGGCCAGATACTACATCATCAATCTTCCGAACTAAACGATTCGCTCTTCTTATTTTTTGGGGTTCGATGCAGAACACATCATCTGCAAGCCATTCAGATAGTTAGCTAAGTTAACTAACTTAGTTAGTCAAGTCGATAACTTAGAGACGGTTAGCAATACGTCAAGTTGTCAACTGCAATATCTGCATATCAAGGCGGACCGTTTTAGCGCAGGAATCCTAATTATGGGCCCACCTCATCGATCCGCGTCAGTGGTATGTGCGCCACGCAACTTCCTCCGAAGTCCGAACGATTGATGTCATACCCGCGTTCCCTCCTTTTTCCCTCCATCTTTCTACCATCAGATTTCAGATCCGATTTCAGATCCCCCATGTCTCGCACGCACGCCTCCCAGCCATATCCCCCCAAGGCTGCCACATTCCCTAGGAAGTCTGGGACTGGGAATGTTGGAGTACTGTGGTAGAGACCTCCCCCTCCCCCCCGCTAAAGCACTGGTCGAACCCTTCGCTATCCGATGGCAATTGGTTTGAGTACTTGCCTTCTGATGAGATGCCGGTTACTGCGAAGGCATTTTCGTTGACGAGAAAGATGGAAATGCAGTTGGCTGAACCGTCAAGGGCATGGTATTTATGTAGGGATTCGGCTGTTATTTCGTCATACTATACCGTCAGTCGCACAGTCTCCAAGTCTTTCCTTTCTTTGTCCTACAATGATATCGAAGTTGTTCCACATATCAACTTGGGCCTGGACCCCATTTCCGGTACCATGCAGTTTTGTAGGACAGCCACAATGCTTGCTCCACGCAGGCGGGAACATCCATGCAACTCCTCCAGACATCGCAATATTATGACGCCATTGCCTTCTCGCGCTGTTTTTCACCTCCAGCAAAACTCATTTTCACGGCTATAGCCAATGGAGACCATGTCTCGGACTGGTGTACCAATTGCGATGGAAGAATGGAAAACCGGATTTGCGCATTAACTGGACCTGGAGCCGTGTCCCTGTAAGGGGGATGTCGCTATGATACCATCAACCACGTACCTTCCCGGCACTATCCCATGTATCTCGAAGTTTTCTCGATGCTGCTTGCGGGCCAAAGCGAGACTTGGAGATGAGAGCTAAGGTATCTAGGTATCTCGAGATGGATGGAGACCGACCTACGTCATGGTCTCGACGCCCCCTTCTGTGAGAATGAAGGCCTATTTCCCTCTTCGCTGTAGCCATATATTACTCGACATCTTCTCCTTCGACTAATTGTTTCGACTTCCTTCATATTTCTACTTGAACCTACTATACCCCCAACAACTGCAATTTTATGAACAACTCCCTATCATACGCATACTACTCATTCCCACCAACATCAAACCGTATATCTCCTTCCTCACAGCGTTCCACTAATTCAACCCCAATTGAACCACAAACCCCTACCAAACCCTCTAGAACTCCCCGCACATCCAAACTCATGGCTCCCACACCAGCGGCAGGCAAGACCGGCAGCACGCCGCGCACGCCTGGCAAGACACCCACGAAGCTAGGCAGGAAGCCACAATCCGCCGTCAAGAACCCCTCAGAATCCACTGCCGAGCCCAAAGACAAGGCAAAAGAACTCCCGGAGCAAACTGGGAACCAAGTGGAAATGAAAGACGACGACGACGTCCGTACCGGCAAGGAATCTCAGACCTCCGGTGAGCTTGAAGAGCAAGAGCCCAAACCTCTAGAAGACGACGAAGACACCACGGCCGGCGCAAAAGACACTACCGCAGGTGCCGAAGGTGATGCTGAAGATACCGCCGATAACCTCACTGAGAAGGCTGGCGACACCGCCGACGATGTTGAAGATACAGAAGACACGGACGAGGGCCAGGACGTCGTAGGCGGTGCCACTGAAAGCGCACAGAAAAAGGGCGGTGACATCCTTAGCGGCGCTAGAGGACTGGCAGGCCGCGCATCAGGTCTCGCCGGCAAGGCTAGCAAAGACTCGAAAGATACCGCGCAAGGAGCTTCCGAGCATGTCCCGAGTGATGCTGGCGATGCGCAACAACCCCTGGACGATGCCGCCGAGGGTGTGAAAGAGACCACGGAAGAGACCACGGAAGACCCCTCTGAAGACGCCGACAACACTGCCACCGACCTCAGGGACCAGGCTGGCGAAGCTGCTGGTCAGGACCTCCCCGACGTCCCCGATCTCTCCATCCTCAAGGGCCTCGAGGTCCAAGACGACGGATTGGTCGTGAATCAAGAAGGCAGTCCCATCGGCAAGCTCGCCGAAGGCGACGCCGAGGACCTTGCTGGCTACCAGATTGGCGACGATGGCGAGATTCTCGATGACGACGGCGATCTGGTTGGCCGCTGTGAACTTCTCCCCGACGCGCTCAAGGACCAAATCCAGAAAGCGAAGGAGGAAGCCGACAGTGCTACTGGAAACGTTCCCGACGTCTCCATTCTCAAGGGCCTTACTGTGGACGCCACCGGACAGATCATCAACGACGATGGCGATTTCATCGGCCAGTTAGTCGAGGGAGACCCTGCGGATTTGCAGGGTCGCGAGATCAACGAGAAGGGTGAGATCCTTGATGATGACGGTGATGTCATCGGCCGCGCCCAGGTCCATCCCGACGCTGCGAACATCGTCGACCAAGCCAAGGAGGGCGCCGAGGCCGCTACCGAGGAAGCTGGCGATGTTGCTGGAGAGGCCGTCGAGGACGCCGCCGACGAGACCGGCGAAGCCATCGACGGTGCTCAGGAGGCTGCTCCTGAACTTCCCGGCATCGAAGCCCTCGAAGGAAAGAAGATCAACGAAGAAGGCGAGGTTGTTGACGACGACGGCAATGTGCTTGCTCAACTCGCCGAGGGTGAAGTTGACCAGGTCAAGGGCCTCACTCTAAACGATCAGGGCGAGGTTATTGATGCCGACGGTAACGTCCTTGGCAAGGTGGAACTTACTGACGGCGCTGCTGAGAAGCTTGGCGAATCCGTTTCCCCCCATATCCGCATCTTGGAGGGCTTGAAGGTCAACAAGAAGGGCAAGGTCCTCGATGAAGAGGGTGAAGTCATTGGTGAACTCACCGAGGGCGATGCCAAGGATGTTGCCGGTAAGGCCATCAACGGCAACGGCGAGGTCCTCGACAAGAGTGGCAATGTCATCGGCAAGGTGCAGGTAGTACCTGGCGACGCCGCGAACGATGCCATGGTGGCGCTCCAGGAACGCCTGGGCGACGTTGTGGAACCGCAATTGAAGGAAACCGTTCCGGACCTCGACATCCTGGAAGGTCTCAAGGTCAACAAGAAGGGACAAGTCCTGAACGAAGACGGCGATCCGGTCGGTGAACTCATTGAAGGAGAAATCGCTGATTGCGCTGGAAAGAAGATCAATGACCAAGGCGAAGTCCTCGACAGTGATGGAAATATCATCGGAAAGGTCCAGCCTCTCGCTCAGCAAGTTGGAGAGGACATTGAGGGAGGCTCTGAAGCCGATGAAGAAGCTGGTGAGGGCGACAATCTCCCACCGCTCTCTATCCTCGAAGGCCTCAAGGTCAATAAGGCTGGCAAGCTCATCAACGATGACGGCGTTGTTGTTGGCGAGCTCACCGAAGGCGATGCCAAGAGGCTCTCAAAGCTTGGTGTCACCTGCGATGGTGAAGGCCAGTTCTGGGACTCCAAGGGCCGCGTCATCGGCCGCGCCCAGACTGTTCAGGTCGAAGAACATGAAGAAGAAGGACCGTTCGCCGGTCTTGAAGGCCTCATTGTCACCAAGGATGGAGGTGTCCAGGACGGAAACGGTAACATCGTCGGCCAGGTAACCGAGGGCGATCCGAAGAAGCTTGTTGGACGCGCCGTCGACGAAGATGGAGACATCATCGACAAGCGCGGCAGCGTAGTCGGCCATGCTGAACGCGTCGATGAAGAGGAAGCACCCGAAGCCGAGCCCGTAGACCTCTCCAGCTTGGCAGGCCGCCCGTTGAACAAGCAAGGCAACATCATCGGCGACGAAGGTGTACCGATCGGCCGCTTGGTCGAGGGGAACGCCAAGGAACTCTCCGGAAAGCAACCAGATGCGGACGGAAACATCTGGAATGACTCCGGAAAGGTCATTGGTCGTGTTGATCTCATTCCCGAGAATGAGCGCGAGACGAAGCCGGAAGGCGTCTTTGGCGGTCTCCAGGGCCTCAAGGTGGCCGAGGGTGGCAAGGTCGTCGACGAAGATGGAAACGAGGTCGGTCAGATCGTCGACGGCAACGCGAAACGCCTCGTGGGCATGTCTGTTGATGAGGACGGAGACATCATCGACAAGTACGGGAACGTCAAAGGACATGCCGAGCCCCTCGAGGAGGCCGAAGAGGAAGAAGTCGACCTGTCTATCCTCGATGGCAAGACTCTCAACAAGCAAGGGTTCGTTGTCGGCGATGACGGTATCCCCATTGGACGTCTTGTTGAGGGTAACGCGAAGGACCTTGCTGGCCGCAAGTGCGACGGCGACGGTCAGATCCACAACGACACCGGCAAGGTCGTCGGCCGCTGCGAACTCATCCCCGAGAACGAGCGCGCCGGCCGCGGCGAAGGACCATTCGCTGGCTACGAGGGCCTCCGCGTCAACCGTGACGGCAAGGTCGAAGACATTGACGGCAATGTTGTCGGCGTGCTAAGCGAAGGCGACTCGAAGCGTTTGGTCGGCCACCAGGTCGACGAGGACGGAGACATCATCGACAAGTATGGCAACGTCAAGGGCCATGCGGATACATGGCAGGAGGAGGAAGAGGCGCCAGAAGACCTCTCGGCGCTGGGTGGATGCACGGTCAACAAGGCTGGCAACGTCGTCGACTCCTCCGGCAATGTCGTCGGCCGTGTTGCTGAGGGCGAAGCCAAGCAGATGGTCGGCAAGAAGGTCGACGGCAAAGGTCAGATCTGGGACAATGCGGGCAACGTCATCGGCCGCGCAGAGATTGTCAAGGGCGCCGACACCACTCCTGACGGACCGTTCTCTGGTTTTGACAGCCTCACTGTTGTGAAAGACGGCACCGTGCAGACCCCTGATGGCTCCATCGTTGGTCGCATCATTGATGGAGACATCAAGAAGCTTGTTGGACATCACCCAGATACGGACGGGGAGATCCAGGACAAGAACGGCAATACTATCGGCAAGGCAGAGCGCTGGGAGCCCGAGGAGAAAGAGCGCGTCGTCAGCCCGATGTCCGGTCTTCGCGTCAACAAGGAGGGTGAAGTGCGAGACAACAATGGAGACATCCTTGGACGTCTCACAGCTGGCGATCTTGGTCACTGTGCTGGTATGGAGGTTGACGACAATGGAAACGTTGTCGACAACGACGGCAACAAGGTTGGAGAAGTAACTCTCCTCGAGCACATCCAGGAGGAAGAGCCTGAGGAGAAGACCGAGGATGCCGAACTGGCCGACAAGATGGCCAACATCTGCCAGCAGACTTTGGAGCGCATCCAGCCTGTATGCAAGCAGATCACCGATGTAAGTTTTCCGTTTCTCCTTCCCTCGCTACAAATCACTAACCTTCGTCATCAGTACATCGAAAAAGCAGATAGCACCCCTCGCGAAGAGCTCGACGAAGAAGAGCTCGTCAACAACGTCAAGCCTCTCATCGAAGAAGGCGGCCGCATCCTCCAAGAATGCAATGGCGCCCTCCGCGGCCTCGACCCGGACGGCCGCATCGCCTCGCAAGCCAAGGGCCGCGCCGCCACACGGGAGGCCACTCCGGAGGAATACCGGCTCGCGGACCTCCTCAAGGAACTCACCACTACCGTCGTTACGACAATCGACAATGCGAAGAAACGCATCTCGGACATGCCGCATGCGAAGAAGAAGCTGAACCCCCTGTGGTCGCTGTTGACGGAGCCGTTGTTCCAGATCCTGGCGGCGGTGGGGTTGTTGTTGGCGGGTGTGTTGGGGCTTGTGGGACGATTGCTCAGTGGGCTGGGCTTGGGTGGCCTGGTCAATGGCCTGCTGGGAGGATTGGGCATTGATAAGTTGCTTGGTGGGCTAGGGCTAGGAAGCATCACGGATGCTTTGGGTGGTGGGAAGAAGGATAAGAAGAAGGGTGGTGCGGGCTCGTTGCCGTTGGTTGGTGGATTGCTTGGTGGAGGGAAGTAAGCTAGCTGTTGGATTCACAGGTTGATGATTTCGGCTAAAAGTTTTCTTGTCTCGATATGAGTGTACGATTCTTGATGTTCTTTTCATATGTATCACGGCTGGGGCGTTGGGAATGGTCTTTCCTTTACCTTGTATATCTAGACGATAATGAGATCAGTTCACTGAAATATTCTCTTGGATCAACAGGCTTCTATGATCCGTATCCCTTGTCTGGGTTAAGCAGTAGGAGATCCGTACTAGCACGATACTCCACTGGCCATCGCATGTGTAGTGGTAGGAGTCAGTAATTAAGCCTGATGTGTTAATGAGAGCCGTGTTGAATTCACCAGGCAGCAACCACATGACCTAACAAATCATTAAAAGAAGTACCACATGATCGAAACAGTCAATTAATTCTTCCAATGGAAACGGCCAAGTTTGTTTCACAACTGATGCGGATCAAGTACAGCTGAAAAGATGATACCAGCCCAATGAAACAGACACCTGGGACCTGCGTGATGGTTGACTTTCTACCCCACCCAAGAAGGTGGCTATAATTTCGCTTTTTGTTCCGGTGTGTCGTCCTGGCACTCTATGCTCGCTGCTCGTATCTGGAGAGAGATAGGTGGCAAAAGGGGTGGAGAGTGGGACAAGGATGGTCGCAGGTTCGAGTCTGAGTCTGGGATACAAGTTTTTCTCTTCTTTTTAATGTTTCCAGCCTGTTATGGTATTGGAAAGGGAGAGACTGCGACAAAGGGGGTGGAGGATGGGATTGTGGAAGGTCGCTGGATCGAGCCTGAATCTGGGAAAAAGGATTTTATTTTTTTCTATTCTCATATTCAGGTTAAGGTAGGATCCTTGGCGGCTTGGCAATTTTTACTCCACCAACACGCGTCAGAACGCGCATTTCATCAATTATATCAACGCAGCAACCACCACGTTCATTACTTTATCAATTTAGGTATTTTTGAGGAGCTATTGACAGCAAACACCTACTTATCTATTTAGATGGTAGCCATGCCTCCTTTCCAGCCCCCAGCTACCAGGTCTCAGATCTCAGATGCGACTTTACGCGACATAGAGACCGTCTCAACGCTGGACAAGTCAATATGCACATAATCGCCGCAACGAGTATAAACAAGAATACAATGACGAGATTAAGGAAGCGATGGAGCGAGACTGGGACCATTTACGCCATAAGGACGCGTCGCCCTGGTCCTAGACCTATTGTTACCCCCGCAATGTATGTCGATCTCGAGACACAGCTTCTGATGCGGCCAGGGATATATCAGGACGAACTTCAGTACTTCCTCTGGGACAACTGGTCTATCTGGGTCAGCCAGCCTACCATCAGTC